ATCAGCAAGAGGATCGTCCACAACAAAGCCAGCCAACTTCCATGTAGGATCTTTGGTTTGAACTCTGCTATGAAGAGCCCTCATCCACCTATGGGCATCTCCACTGGAAAATCTTGGTGATATAATCCAAGCTACTGGAATTGCGTTGTAGTCTAAATTGAATACTACCAGACTATGAACTGGATACTGGACAAAAATGCAGAAAAGGCATAATTAGCATCATCTGACATTGAAATTGGATCTTATAATTTAAGAACGTTGAAATAACTGAGACATAAGAATTAGCTGATATACCTTCAACTTGTTTGTTCCAAACCTGGAATCTGAAGCAAGAAGGCCACGATTACCGAATCGTATCATTTGTTGTAATTGCCACTCTGTTTGAATTCCCAAAGTAAAGGTGTCTGTATCAGTAAAATCTTCATAAAAGAAAACATTACTACGATGGCCCTCAACCCACATGTTAATGCTTACTGCATCATCTTCATCAAGCTCATGAGTGGAACGCCTGATGCTTCTCTCTTGTATTCTTACATATCTATGAGTTAAAAGGTCATCACGGTTGCATGGACCACCCTGTTTCTCCACCGATTCATTATGTCTCTGCATAATGGTCTCCACAGAAACGCCAACATATAGAAGCGACAATACACGTAAACGAAGATCTTCAGAGATGTATGGTGCAAACATAGCACGAGTACCTTCAGCCTTCTTGTCTTGAGGACCATGGCATGGCAATCCCTTCTTGTCTACATGCTTGTCCTCATTATATATGATCAGTGCAATAGATGGTTCAGCAATTAAACGTTTGACAATGAAGTGACAGGTGCAACCCCTTTTAGTGTTTGGCCGTCCAGCATTTTTCTTCTTTGGTATATAAGTATTTCTACTGGGTCGTACAACTCCCCCCTTCCTGTGGTCATCAGGACCAAACGAACACCAATACCTATGTATTCGATGAATAACTAAACTTCTAAAATTTGAAGAAAAACGACCAAGCACAAGATGAAAACATACGTATATATTACACGAATACAAATATGGGACTTACATAATGTATTCCAGTACACCATCAACCTTCGGTTTGAAAGGTGCTTTCAATGCTCGTCGTCGCCTTGCTTCAACATGAAATCTGGTTGGACATTCTTTATTTGAAGATTCGCCACGTACAAAATCATCAACTCTAGCAAAAGGGATTACTGCAACTCTATCCACATTGTCACGCCATCCTTCTACCTTAGACCACACAAGATCAGCGGAAGAAAATTCCAAGGTTGAAGGATTCTGTACTGGAAGAGAAAAAATCTCGTCCCATCTGGCCATCTAAAAAATGAAATAAGGAAATTACAAGTCAATAATTTAAGAAGCAGGACATGAAACGCATTTTAAAAGACCCAAATTTATAAGAACCAAAAATAAATTCTCTCTCAGCACGACAAATCAATTAAGCAAGAAACCAACAGCAGGCACAGAGCTTACCAACGCATTGCAATATCGTAATCAAGGTACCAAAATCAAAATGTAACAAAAAATGACAAAAATGTTGTGTCCCTCTTCTTGATAACTAGGCACCTGTACCGGTACTGACTGTTAGATGAACACAACTCTCCACAATGGTATGATATTGTCCACTTTGAGCATAAGCTCTTATGGCTTTGCTTTGGGCTTCTCCAAAAGGCTTCATACCAATGGAGAGAGTATTCTTTGATTATAAACCCATGATCATTCCCTAAATTAGCCTATGTGAGACTAGTGGGATTTTCATCATCCAACCCTGACAACATTTCTTCACATATCAAGGCTCACCAAACCGCGAAATGAAATTCATAGCACTAGAAATGACAACGTATCCACTTATCCCTAAAATAATAACAATGGCATACTTCATTGAACAGGGGGAGAGTCATAAAGCAGAGGCATCTGATAGCCCAGAACACCCTATCCTTCCCGGAAGAGAAAATTCCAGAAAAAGAAAGCAATCTAAACAACAAAACAAAAAGAAGCAGCAGAAAGTTAGCACTCTCCGCAGCCTGAATTTAACCGGCATATAAACAAGTAGAGATAGAGGACAACAAATTGGAAGACAAAACGCCGACGAAAACAAACAATCAAAATGTTAAAACGCGAACTAGTTCATCGCTACAAATGACCTGACCATAAAACTAAATGCAATCACACAAACTCACAGTCGAATAAAGAAGATTTCAAACAAAAGTTGGACAAAGTAAACTGCCTCAACGTACTGTCTTATCAGAAAACCAAAGCCTTCTGCAACTTGATGCCTATATCTTGTCGCACACTCCACCGAACCAAATGAAACTCGCCCTACGTAGCCAGTTGTTCCGACTCAATTTCCGTCGGCGAACGCAATACACAGTCCTCCAACCACCAGAAAATCAAATAGAATAAATTCGTATAGAAATCTAGATTGATTCCGGAGATACTCCGCGAGATTGTTGGAGTCGGAGAGCTTAGAGCTCTGATTCTCGGTGAGAAATGAAAGGAACAGAGAAGAAACAGCCACCGGAGGCGTTGAGGCTTGCGAACAAACATCTTATAAAAAGAAAAATGAAAAAAGAAAAAAAAAAAATCTGTCAAAATTTTAAGTCAAATACAAAAATAGGGAAAAATTAAATTAAAATTCAATAATAAGACATGCTTAGGGTTCGACCATTCGAAACATGCATCTCGGTTCCATTTTTATTGATTTAAACCCTAAAACACGCTTATTATCCTCCCATTAGGTCATAATCAACTTCTCCGATCATTCCAAGATGGATTTCACGAATAATTATTAAGAAATATCTAGTATGACTACTTACTCGTTGAAGTAATTCTTAAGAAAAACTTGATCGATGTGAGGAATCATGAGCTCGTGGCATACCGAAAAGGTAGGGAGGTCTAAGGTGACTTAGGGCATCACTAGGTTAGGTGTTACAATCGCACTTTGATGGCAACAGACTTGCGATTGTGCGGCATTCACTTCCTAGCAACAAGTGAGTTTAGCCTATTCGTTCTTGCGTCGCCTATGGCCAAGTGACGTATGCTCGAGCCTCTGGCCCCGGTTCAAGATAAAAGTTTTAGAAAAAGGGGGCAGAGAGATTTCGAAAGAGAGTTTTGCAAGCAAGATTTGAGAAATTGAAATTGGTGTTATATGGAAATGTAAGCAAAAAGCAACAACAGCTTACTGCATATAATTATCGAGTAGGGATAAGTTGACAACTAGTCATATCTCCCTATAGTATATTTTGAGGCATTTCATGTCTGGCAGGCCTAGACATGATTTTTCCGAAACGTCATACTCCCTAGAAATACAAAAGTAAAACACGATAACATGGAAAGACATAAACGGTTTGGCTTGTCATGGGCAACATGCCTTGGACGAGCTTGACCGTGACATAGGCTCATTTATAAAAGACATGTTTCGGGTTCAACTATTCGAAACATGCATCTCGGTTCCATTTTTATTGATTTAAACCCTAAAACATGCTTATTATCTTCACATTAGGTCATAATCAACTTCTCTAATCGTTCTAGACTCCAATCTAACACGTAAAATGGCCAATCAACTAATCACAACGTCGTCGTCACCTGATACTCAGGTCTCACTTGCGAGAAAGGTAGAGTAGCACAAATGAGTATACATTCAATATGTAGCTCGCTTAAAGTTGATCATATTACTTATACAACATTCACATACATAACCGAGGCTCTACCATAAGGCATCACTAAAATTAACCCAGATACTCAATCATCGATTGTATTCTACGGGTAGGACTCGTTCTACTCATCTAAACTAGACTAATTCAAAGGTCTCTTGACTAGACTTTTGAAATTCACTCAGTCCTTGACTTACTTTCATTCATTACTTATTCAACTTGGGTTCTGGTTTGAAAGCTTATTCAATCCAATACTGTTGATTCAATGACTCCCATTGATCCACTGCTTAGTGTACAATCAACATTAAGCCCATAGGAGCTCGTACTCATATCTAAATGCCATAAATCTATGTCGTAGGCTCGCCTAGACAAGCGTTTCGGTTCTACTTTTCTATCTCTGCTTACTTTTAATTATCAGCTAGCCAACTTCTAACTTTCTCACATTAGCCCGGGGAATCTCTCACTAGTTTGCCGGTCTCTAAGAGCGTGTTGACTAGGCTAAGGTGTAGCTGAGTTCAAGGTATCTAGATAATCGCATTCTAGTTTTAGTGTATGTTGTCGTATTTCCAACTTTAATCTTCTATCATACATCATTGAGTATGTTTTTTGTGACAAATAAACTACTAGAATAGTCGGCCTAACTCTAATAGTCTCACAATGTGAATGAGACACAAGAAGGAATGACCTCGTGTCTATTGACTCTAAGTGCTCCCTTGTTCTGCTTTGACAAAAAAACACGAGCCGGGAACAGTTGGAGACCCCTTGATCGCACCCACATAGCGTACGTAATGCACTTATAGGTGCATATATGTAATACTAATGTGAAAGGTACATATGTAGTCTTACCAAGGTAAAGTACCTAGGGAGTCGGTGGAACTGTAACGCCCCAGATCCACCGCTAGTAGATATTGTCCTCTTTGGGCTCTCTTTCAGACTTCCCCTCAAGGCTTTAAAATGCATCAGGCGAAGGTTTCTACACCCATATAAATGGTGGTTTGTTCTCCTCCCATCCAACGTGGGACATCACAATCCACCATCTTCGGGCCCAGTGTTCTCGCTGACACTCTTTCCTTCCTCCAATTAATGTGGGATCACTCCCAAATCCACCCCCTTTGGGGCCAGTGTCCTTACTGGCACACCGCCTCATGTCTACCCCCTTCGGGGAAAGGCCAACGGATTCGGGACTGGGACCTCCGTGCCCAGCCCTCAAATCCTTTTCCTAAGATTACCGATCCATTTACTCTTACAATTTCGTTATTTAGTTAAATTTTAAATGATTTTATGTGATTTAAAATTATACGATCAAATGTCAATTCTTTGATAATTTAGAACTACAAATGCATGTGTTGCGGAAGCTGCGTTGGTCAAGCGCGAGTGGCTTCGTTAGGGTTTAACAGTTGGGTTGGGGTTTGGGTATACTGCCTAAGGGACAAAGGCCTCACGACGCCCTCTGTCTCCGGCACCGAACCTCAGCATTCAGCTAGCCGGAGCACCCATTACAATCCTGCTCAGTACAAGAAATGCCTCCGAAAGCTTCGAAATCCAAGGAAACTCCCGCAGAACGGCCTATTCTCGGTCGTTTTTCTTCTCATCTCAAGATTGGAATTGTATGTTCTTACTTCGATCATTTTTTGTCCTCTTTTAATTGTCTGGATTGGATTTTCCAGCTCTGTATTGATTGGATGCTCGGAATGAAATTTCATTTGCTTGTTCGTTTATCCGGAATGTTCAATAATGAACTACCGGATACTTTTTTTTTTATTAATTTGATTTTTTATAATCTTGTTGGAATTTATGGTTTGCTAATCTAGGATGCGTGTGCTTTTTTGGGTTTTGTTGGATTATTATGTGGTAGAAATGTTGCTGAGTGCTGATTATGAATCTGTACACCCCTGTGATTGGTTTTTGTTTGAGATTTCAGGTTGGATTCCCTTTTTGCACTATTGAACCTAACGAAGCTAGAGTACATGTGCCAGATGAGCAGTTTGAATGGCTTTGCAACTTATACAAACCTAAAAGCGAGGTTAACTTCCTTTTCTCGAGCTATTATCGATTTAGAATTCTTCGGATTAGTTTTTATCGTCAATTGGATAATGTGGAGAACCTATTCAATTGCATGAAATTAATGTTGAATTTATGATAAGAGTTACGCATTAAATGTCAGGTTGAATGTATAGTAGCGGCCTTAGGTTAAATAGGAAAATTTAGGGTCGTTATACTTGAAGAGCCTGCCAAGTGTATGACAAACAGTGTTACTTTCACAATGATTTTGAAGCTTCAGAATGTATAATAATAATTTGATACAGAATTGACTATGATTAACCTTGTCACAGTGCCGTTCCAAAGATCATAAAGATTGGGTTCTCGTCGATCAATCTCATATATTTCTTCACTGCAGGTCCTGATGAGGTATAATATGCATCGTAATTATTTACACATCAATAATTAGTTGAGTATTACTTACATTATTACCATATTTTGCCTTTGGTGTTTGTTAAAATGTTCTCTGAGTATTGAAGTAGCTGGTATTGATGATCCTTTTTGTAACGACCCAGATCCATCGCTAGCAGATATTGTCCTTTTTGGGCTTTCTCTTTCGGGCTTCCCCTCAAGGCTTTAAAACGCGTCTATTAGGAGAAGGTTTCCACACCTTTATAAAGGGTGTTTTGTTCTCCTCCCCAACCAATGTGGGACATCACAATCGACCCCCCTTCGAGGCCCAATGTCCTCTGACACTCCTTTCTTTCTCAAATCGATGTGGGACCGCCACCAAATCCACCTCCCTTTGGGGCCCAGCGTCCTTACTGGCACATCGCCTTGTGTCTACCCCCTTCGGGGAACAACGAGAAGGCTAGCACATCGTCCGGTGTCTGGCTCTGATACCTTTTGTAATGACCCAGATCCACCGCCAGCAGATATTGTCCTCCTTGAGTTTTTCCTTTCGGGCTTTCCCTCAAGGCTTTAAAACGCGTCTGCTAGGAAGGTTTCCACGCTTTTATAAAGGATGTTATGTTCTCCTCCCCAACCAACGTGGGACATCACAATTTCTTTAGTTATACATGAATGATACTAATTAGAGCCATAGGAATACATGAATGATACTATTTAGAGCCATAGGAATACAGCACTAAAGAAGCTTAACTTATCTCTGCTGTTGATGATAATATTGTAGGTATCCAAATTTTAGAAACTTTTTATCTCAGCCTTACCCTATCACCTTTCAAGATATAAGGGTAATACCCTTTGGGGTGCTGGTTCTTTTGCTATTTGATGGAGCATTTGGGTCAGGAATGAGAAAAGTTTAGAGGAGTTGATAGAACATGGGAAGAGCCTCCCCTTCATCAAGGACTCCTTTCTTTGGAGCCCTCAAACAAAGTACACCCTTTGTTCGACACATGAGTCACTTTTGACTACACCTTCGAGGCTGGCAATTTCTTTGTTCGACACTTGAGGATCCTATTGACATGGCTAAATTAGGGGCATGATGCTGATACCATGTTAACAGATCTCCACAATGGTATGATATTGTTCACTTTGAGCATAAGCTCTCGTGGCTTTGCTTTGAGCTTCCCCGAAAGGTCTCATACCAATGGAGATGTATTCTTTACTTATAAACCTATGATCATTCCCTAAATTAGCAAACGTGGGACTTCCTCCCAACGATCTTCAACACAGGTCATGGTAACTGTTGGCTTGACCTAATCCAGAATATGAGTCTTCACAGGTGAAATGCTGGCAAATTAGACGATAGACAAAAGTCCCTGAACCTGCTGGGACAATTCATACTGATTTTGAGAAAGGGTTCATTTGTGCTGAGGTTCGTTTAGGCTTTCTGACACTTCCATGTTTACGTTGGCTTTCTGTTTCTTGATATTTTGAGTGTATTCTTTTCTTTTTTATACTAGATGTATAATTTTGGAATTTTACTAGGATTTTATTCTAATTATTATGTTGGTTTTTAGGGTTTGAAATTTGAAGCATAAGGTATAAGAATGTGAAAACTTCTCCCTAACAGACACGTTTTCTTGAGGGAAAATCTGGAAGGGAAAGCCGAAATAGGTGATGGGCTTGGGTCGTTACAAATGTTATCAGAGCTAGACACCGAACGATGTGCCAACGAGGAGGCTAAGCCCCAAAGGGAGGTGAATGAGGTAGTGTGCCAGGCCCCAAAGGGGGTGGATTGGGGGGTCCATCGATTGGAGAAGAGAACGAGTGCCAGCAAGGACGCTGACCCTCGAAGGGGGTGGATTGTGAGATCCCACATCGGTTGAGGAGGAGAACGAAACATTCTTTATAAGGATGTGGAAACCTCTTCCTAGCATACGCGTTTTAAAATCTTGAGGGGAAGCCCAGAAGGGAAAAACTCAAAGAGAACAATATCGGCTAGCAGTGAGCTTGAGTCGTTACAATTAGCTTGGTCTTATTCTCGTTGGTTTCTTATATATATATATATATCAACAAGTTCGAAGCCTTACGGGCACGATGACATATTTATCCTTATTGTATTTAGAGCAAAGAGCTAAAACTAAGTCGATATAATTTAATATGAACCAAGAGACATCAATCATACAATATACTTTAATGAAGATGTGAAGAAAATAGTGTTGAAATTATCAAAAGATATTTCGATTCATGACACATTAAAGAAAAATAAAGTTTCATGTTATAAATTTGGAGTGGATTATAGTTTAAAGTAATTTAGAGTTATGACTTTTTATTATACAATTACATAATGGTTAATTATCATCATAAAGTATGAATGTTACTACTCTTGGGATGACTTTAATAGTTTCATTTTGATACGCCTTTCATTTTTTATGCTATTAATAGTTTCATTATGATATTTTGATGCTATTAATAATTTCATTTTGATATGCCTCTGATAGTCTCATTTTCATTATGATATTTTGATGCTATTAATAGTTTCATTTTGATATGCCTCTAATAGTCTCATTTTGATGCTATATAAAGCCTTGTATGTGCGAGGAGAATTCGAAAATACAGTTTTTGTACTTTTCTTTATTATATGTAGTTTAGGCTGAATGTATAATCATTCAAGCTTGATATGATCAATCTTGCTCGTGGAATGATTCGAATCTCAATCAAGTGTTCTTGCCTTGAGATATTTGATCAACAAGAATCATTCAAGCTCAACATGATCGATCTTGCTTGTGGAGTGATTCGAATCTCAAACAATGTTCTTGCCTTGAGATATTCGATCAACAAGATAATCCGAATCTTACTCCCCTCGTAATGATTTCCACATATCATAATTTGATATAATTCTTTTTTTTTACGTTGAAAATTACATTTTCAACATTTCATTTTCTAAAACATGAAAATTTAGAACATTACACTCTCCTTTTCTGAAATCATTCTCGACCCTTACGATCCATTCTTCAAATACTAAATCTTTTACATATTTCACTAAAACTCGATCTCGACATTATTTAAAATTATATTTCGTTTTCCTAAAACCCTCATAAAAGAAAATGAAAAGATAAAAAGATGCTCTTTTCAATTAGATGTTGAAATTAAACCTCGAAATAATCAAAGAAAAGATGAAAAGGGAAGGAAAAAAAAAAAGTTACACACATTTTAGTAGCAATAAAGATAATATAAAATGTATATTCTTTTAGCTTTATTATTTTTGTTTGTATTTGAAAAAAGTTTCATAAATTATCAAAAGGTTACACTTAAAGTCAATACTTATTGCTTTGTAAGGAGGGAATTGGAATTAGTCCACTTTGCAATAAAACCCTCCTAAACCTATACCCTTTCAATCCACGTCTTAATCTTTTAATCCCGACCTCTTTAAATTTGAACAATTTTGTCGAATGAAACAGATGGTTCTTCATCGACACGAGGTCCAGATATCCGTTGTCGAGAGTCGTTGTAAATAATACGACAAGAATGTTTTACCCCTCGCACACCAAGACCGGGGCAGGAGGCAAACTTATTCGTTTAAGATCCTTGGCGCGACTTGCATCGGGTTTGGTTTAGGCATCAAAGGGGGCATAAATGCTCCTCCTAACACAAAAAGTTTGTAAACACGTTCGACAACGATCCTTCCGCAGGTTCACCAACAGAAACCTTGTTACAACTTCTCCTTCTTAATGATAATATATATTATATTTATTTATTTATTAAAAGGGACAATTCCTTTTGTCTTCATCTTGAATAATAAAAGGTCCAATTTTTATAAATTATGTTTAATAGAATAAATAATTCAATTTAACGCCATTAAACATATTTAACAATATTTAATTAAAAAGGTTTATATCCAAAATATTATTAATATGTAAAGTATATCTCTTAATATCTTTTTTATTTTTCTGAAAATATTTTATGTTTTCTTTTCTTTTTATTCTCAAAGTGGAATCACTTTCCATATTGTTTTTGGCTTCATATTAAATATTGGTCCCCCCATGTTTGTGATATGTTTTTTAATTATTTTTGCTAAAATTTTCATTTTTAATTTTTAACTCATAAATTTATTGCTCCATATCAAAATAAAACACATTAAATTATAAATTTAGTAAAATAAAAACTTTTAAATTATTTAATAAGTTTTGAGTAAATGAAAAATACATGAATGAACTGAGATCACATTTGAATTAGAGCGATTTTAAGCCTAAGATAGTTAAGAAATACTTAAAAGAATTGAACATTACTACTTATATGAATAATGTGCAACTTCTAACGAGCGTTTTATCAAAATAGAGAGATCATTTATAACATATTAAACTACAACTCAATTCTAATTTTCTCCCCATCATTAATATAAATATAATAATTTAACTTAAAAAATAAAAATAAAAATGGTAAAAAAAAATATATAATTTCAATTAAAAACCAAAAATGCTTTTTTTTTTTTTTTTTTGGTGGGGACCACATTGTGATATTTCACGCAACCACATGCTCACACATACCATGATAAGGACGGCACAATAAAGACAAAAAGGTGTCCTACGTGTCATATTATTATTGGCCGCTTAGTGGACCCCGCTTGCAATTATATTTTGCACCTACTTCACCTCTCATCACTCTGGACCAATAGGAATGAGTCAGCAAGGAAATCTTGGTCAAAGGGGAATTGTGCGTCCTACCGTCCTACGTGGCACTTTATTTTACAAAAACATCGACAATAATTCGCTAAATTAATTACAAAATTAGCTAAATTTGAATACGTTATTAAATGGATTTTTTTTTTAAATACCTTAAAATTTTTAAAAAATTAAAAAATATATAAAAAAAATTAAAAAAACTTTTAAAAGTTTAAGGTATTTTATTTTCATAATATTTTTTAAATATTTTTAAAAATTTAAAGATAATTATTGAAAATTTAAGAGTATTTTTAGACCCATTACAAAATTTAAATATATTTTTATTAATTTAGCCTTACAAAATATATATTTTTTAACAAATAATTAATTTTTAACAAAGTATCGTCAATTTAGTTTAATTTCTCTCTATATTTATAAATATAATAAAAGGTATTTATTCTGAAAAAACAAAATTCTTTATACGGTTAATTACTAAAACCGTATAATTAAATTTTAGAGATTAAATAAACGACGGTTTATTATTTTTGTGAATTAAATATAATTACTATATTTGCATTATTAATTTTTTCAAATTCCCCCATTATTAGTTTTCATGTTATTTTTAATAATTTCACATGATAATATTTTTAAATATGCCTTTTAAAAATTCTAAATATACCAAATATATATATATAATTTTTAAATTAAAACACTTTAATATCAACTCGAGTATAGGAAAACTGAACGAGGTTTATTGGTAAACAAGAAAATTAGATGTTCAAATTCACACTCTCGTACATTATTATACTTTTTAAAAATATATATTTTATTTAAATTAAAAATTTACAAATTTTCAAGGTTTTTCTCGTTATCAGCTTAAGACTAGTTTTGTAATGACCCGAAATTTTCTACTTAATTTAAAGTCGCTACTGTATACATATCCTAAACATTGAATGCGGAAAACTTCGTTCGAATTCCATAAAACATATCGTTTATGTTAAAACATAGTCATTGACTTACGCGTTTCGAAAACATCTTTAAAACGACACTAAATAAAATAAATAAGTGTTTAAGTTAAAAACATTCTATTCTAACTTAAGTCTAAGAAAATAAATACACTCTGCTATGCATGTGTCATGGTCTTAAGTTGTGCGTGTCATCCTTGCGTAGGGGCTATGCTAATCTTGTCTGTATCGTTCCAATTTTAACGGACACCCTTTATAAGGGAGTGGAAATCTTCCCACAACAGACGCGTTTTAAAGCTTTGAGAGGAAGCCCGTAAGAGAAATCTCAAAGAGAATCATGTCTGTTAGCGGTGAATCTAAGTTGTTACAAGTTTAACATCGAGCTTCCTTGCAAAAAGTTTCATAATCGAGAGTGACCCAACTTATTTGTTTAAGTTAAATTTGTTGGAGCAGAAAATAAAATTGCATACCGAGTAAAACTTAGCCTTTCGAACCTTGCAATCTTACCGCTTCAATGACCTATACCGATCGTTTATAATTAACATAACATAGCTCAATCAGCTAAAATTTCGACAATGGCGGGTAAATAGAGCATTTACTCACGAATTTCTACACCATTTTCCCGCGTACTGTTTGGTGTCTGATAAACTGACACTGAGCCTCCTCAAAAGAAGGAATCTAAATTATTTTATATTTGATTTCTCCCATTAATTCATTTTTCTCCCCAAAATTGCTTAATCACTGTGGGGTTCTTCTTCGCATCACTCACATGCATTCGCTTCACTAAACAGGGCGTCTGAGTGCGAAGACAACCCCATTTTTCATCGTTTCTCCGTTAAACACCTTAATGAACTCTTGTTTTAGGGTTTTTGTGTGTAAATCTTTGAGCCCCATCTTCTTTAATGCCGTCTAATTCCTTGTTTGAATACCCATTTCTCTGTTCTTCTTTCTGGGTTTGTTGTTCTTATTGATTTATGCTCTTTGTTTCTCTGTAATCCCAAGATTTTGTTCTTTTTCTTGTGGATTTTGTTTATGGGTATCGCTGCATTACTCTGTAAAGGGGTTTTTGTGGGGGAAATCCTCCATTTTCTGTGCTGAAATCTCTGAATCTATTAGAATGTCTGTGGCTGTTCTTGGAAACCCATTGAGATTCTGCATTTTTTGTTGAATTTTGTGTTCATTTGTTCTAAGAATCTTTGCCTCTTTGAGTAGCTTGAAATGATAGCCATTAGGATTTTGGTGGTATCATTCTTGTTGGTATCTACTGTGGCTCAGCTCCCTTCACAAGATATCTTGGCTCTGCTTGAGTTCAAGAAGGGTATCAAGCATGACCCAACAGGGTTTGTTCTTAGTTCATGGAATGAGGAGTCCATTGATTTTAATGGCTGTCCTTCTTCTTGGAATGGGATTGTTTGCAGCAATGGAAGTGTTGGTGGAGTGGTTTTGGAGAGTTTGAGCCTTTCAGCTGATGTAGATTTGAGTGTTTTTTCGAATCTCACAAAACTTGTAAAGCTTTCCTTGTCGAACAACTCGATAACGGGGAAGATACCCGACAATATAGCCGAGTTTCGAAGCCTCGAGTTCTTTGATGTCTCGAATAACCTGTTTTCGTCGTCTTTACCTCAGGGGATTGGCAAGTTAACTGGCTTGCAAAACATATCATTAGCTGGGAACAACTTCTCTGGTACTCTTGATCCGATTGTTGGTCTTCGATCAATCCGTTCGTTGGATTTGAGTCGTAACTCGTTTTCGGGGTCGCTTCCTACGGCATTGACTAAGCTGATGAACTTGGTTTATTTGAATCTATCTTTTAATGGCTTTACTAAGAGGATTCCGAAAGATTTCGAGCTTATTTCAGATCTTGAGGTGCTTGACTTGCATGGTAATATGCTCGATGGCACGCTCGATGTCGATTTTTTTCTTCTTTCGGAAGTCAGTTATGTTGATTTTAGTAGCAACATGCTAATGAGCTCTGATATGGAGCATGGGAAGTTTTTGCCTAAACTTTCTGATACTATCAAGTATTTAAACCTTAGTCATAACCAGCTTACGGGATCGTTGGTCACTGGAGGCGAGTTATCGGTGTTCGAAAACTTGAAAACATTGGATTTAAGCTACAATCAGCTTTCCGGCGAGCTACCCGGTTTTAGTTTCGTGTATGATCTTCAAATCTTGAAGCTTAGCAACAACAGATTTTCGGGAGCTATTCCGAATAATCTATTGAAAGGCGATGCTTCGGTTTTAACTGAGCTCGATTTGAGTGGCAACAACCTCTCAGGTATCGAACCATATCTTCTTTTTCATAGTTTTATGTGATTCTAGTTTGATTAAGCACTTATGGAGTAATGTATCGCTCAGGGCCAATAAGTATGATCACGTCGACCACGCTACGCATACTCAATCTGTCGTCGAATCAGCTTATGGGTGAACTTCCATTGCTGACTGGAAGTTGTGTCGTGCTTGATCTCTCGAACAACAAATTTGAGGGAAATTTAACAAGAATGATCAAGTGGGGGAACATCGAATTCCTTGATCTCAGTCAAAATCTTTTGAACGGGCCTATCCCCGGCGCATCTCTGCAGTTCTTACGGTTAAATTTTCTAAACTTGTCTCATAATACTCTGAGTAGTTCACTTACGAGTGCTATTACGAAGTATCCGAAGCTTCGAGTCCTTGATCTGAGCTCGAATCAGTTCGATGGACCTTTGTTAGCTGATTTACTCACAATGCCCACTTTGGAAGAGCTCTATTTGGATAATAATTTACTTCGTGGCACGGTTAAGTTCTCGCTTCCTTCACCGGGTCGAGCGAACCTTAACGTTCTCGATCTTTCTCATAATCAGCTCGGTGGCTATTTCCCTGATGAATTTGTTTCTTTAACTGATCTTACATTGCTGAATATTGCTGGAAACAACTTTTCGGGATCGTTGCCTACGTCGATGTCCGATCTGAGTGCTTTGATCTCGTTGGATATATCACAAAATCACTTCACAGGGCCCCTTCCGAGCAACTTGTCGAGCAATATTCGGAACTTCAATGTTTCGTTTAATGATCTCTCGGGATTGGTCCCCGAAAATCTGGAAACCTTTCCACGTTCTTCGTTCTTTCCTGGAAATTCAAGACTGATTCTTCGAAATGGTTCGGGATCGAGTGATAGTCCAGATGTTAGAACAGGGAGAAGGAAAATGAACACAATTGTTAAAGTAATCATAATAGTTTCATGTGTGATTGCATTGGTTATTATTATACTCCTTGCTATCTTCTTTCATTATATTTGTATATCAAGGAAGAATCTGCCCGAGCTTGCCACAGCTAAGGACGTTCAGAGGCGTAGTTCTCTTAGCTCCGCTGGCATCGGTGGAGCTGGAACCGGTAGCAATTTGGTTGTTTCGGCTGAGGACCTCGTGACATCGAGGAAAGGGTCGTCGTCTGAGATAATCAGCCTGGACGAGAAACTAGCTGCAGGAACTGGTTTCTCCCCAGCTAAAAGTAGTCATTTTACTTGGTCACCTGAGTCGGGTGATTCGTTTACTGGTGAAAACCTTGGTAGACTGGACGTGAGATCGCCTGATCGTTTGGTTGGTGAGATTCATTTTCTTGATGATTCGATCTCATTGACACCAGAGGAACTATCCAGAGCTCCAGCTGAAGTGTTGGGGAGAAGCAGCCATGGCACGTCCTACAGGGCGACACTCGAGAGCGGGATGTTCTTAACGGTTAAGTGGTTAAGAGAAGGTGTAGCGAAGCCGAGAAAGGAATTTGCTAAGGAAGCGAAAAAGTTCGCGAATATCAGACATCCGAACATTGTTGGCTTGAGAGGGTATTATTGGGGTCCTACACAGCTTGAGAAGCTCATTCTTTCGGACTATATCTCGCTCGGAAATCTCGCAGTCTTTTTATATGGTAAGATTGATCTTTCAGATGATTCTTTCTTGCTTCGAGTTTGAATCGTTTCCTGCAAATAACAAAACTTGATTGCAGATCGTCCGGGACGAAAACGACCATTGACATGGGCTCAAAGACTCAAGATAGCCGTTGATATTGCACGTGGCCTGAACTATCTCCATTTCGATCGAGCTGTTCCACACGGGAACCTTAAGGCAACGAATGTACTACTAGATGGAGCAGACCTGAATGCTCGTATAGCTGATTACTGCCTTCATCGTCTCATGACTAACGCTGGCACTGTCGAACAGATTCTTGACGCCGGGGTGTTAGGATATCGTGCCCCGGAGTTGGCAGCTTCGAAGAAGCCACAGCCATCCTTCAAGTCTGATGTGTATGCATTTGGAGTGTTGCTGTTGGAACTTCTGACTGGAAGATGTGCTGGTGATGTGATCTCGGGTGAAGAGGGAGGGGTCGATCTAACAGATTGGGTGCGTTTACGGGTGGCCGAAGGACGGGGATCTGATTGTTTCGATACGAAATTGTTGTCGGAAATGAGCAATGCAGTAGCAGAGAAGGGTATGAAGGAAGTGCTCGGTATAGCTTTACGATGTATTCGAACCGTATCAGAACGACCAGGTATCAAGACGATATATGAAGATCTTTCGTCCATATAGTTTCTCATTAGCTTCTCATTTCTGAATTAGATGAAGTCTCAGTTTAGCTCACCTTGTGAGTGTAATCAGTTGTAAAAAAAAAAAAAAAAAAAACATGCTTTGATTAATACAAGGAATTTCCACCTTTTGTCCCTTCAACTATGGAATTTTTTGACCCTGCCAAGGGCATTTTTGTTTGTTTGCTTGTCTTGTCTGGTGTTTTTCCGGCTCGCAAGTGGTCGTTTGGTTCATGGTTTTATATATGATGTCATAGAGCCTCCCAGAGACTTAGGGAGCCCTCAAACAGCTTCCCCTTAATCAAGGCTTGACTCTTCTGGAGCACTCGACCAAAGTACATCATTTATTCGACATTTGAGTCACTTTTGACTATACCTTCGAAGCTCACAACTTTTTTATTCGTCACTTGAGAATTCTATAGCCATGACTAAGTTAAGGACATGACTCTGATATTATATTAGGAATTACAAGCCTCCACAATAGTACGATTATTGTTAATGTTGAGCATAAACTTATATGGAAATCAATCCAAGGGAAAGTATGGAGCGGATTACCTTGATGATTAAGATCAAGAGTAAAAAAAACTCGTTTCTGAACTTGTGATTCGAATCACTCAACAAGAGATTTGATCAATACTACTTGAATGACTCTAGCATACAAGTTCTAGACACAAGAATTTGCAAAGAAAAACTTAGCTCTCAACA